ACTAGAATCAGTTTTGATAGGTCGGATAGATGTAATTAAAAAAGCCGGTTAAATGACACAGCGGAATTGTAATATCCTGCAAATGAAGAAAGTATCGTAATATGGAAATGATTCGAACCCATTCTGGTATCATTTCATTCAAAGTTTTCTTTATGCGGCATTAACAGAACTCGTATCATGAGAATTTCATCACAGAAATAGCTAAAGTTCAGTTCTTTAAACTCAACTCGCTTCTGCAGATGAGCTTCTAGTCCTTTGTTTCATGGCAGAAAACTGAACACGATCAAAACGGACCCGCGTCAGTCTACGTTGCTTCTAGCGTTTCAATTCTTCGTCGAACGATAAGTTTCCATGTATACTGCTATATGTCATTCTTAAATGCTGTAATTTGGCTCCTTTTTTCTGTACAAATTTATCATCTTGAAAAGAGTTAATCTAGTGTTTGATTCAAAAGAGCGTGTTTGGTCCAGCCCACTAGTACTATTCGCATAGGGAAGTCAAAGGGGTCACTGCTAACAAATGACACCAGTCTATGATATAATAATTGTGGATCATAAAATAAACAAATTGATTCACAGAGCCATAAATCATGCCCTAGAATATCTTGTTGACATAAACAGATCCTTTTAATTTTTGTAATAAGATCTTGTGAATAGACTAAGAGACCTAAGGACGCAACGCACGGACTGGGTTAGGGTTAGGACTTGCTAAAAAGTGTAAAGTACTTTTGTTTTCTACATTTGAGTGATGCGCTGGCACAAGAAGGTCTAGAAGGAGTGTATAAAGAGGAAAGGGGTTGTTACATGCTGTTAGAAGGAACATAATACCACCTATGACACACACTATCAGGTCAGCCATTCTCTAGAGTCAGTTAAATCCAGAGTCAGTTCTTCTCAATCCTCAATAAAAGTCAATTATAGCAAGAGAAAGTCTTTAAATTGTGTCCTTGTATAGACGAAATCTCTATCTCTAAAAAAGGAATCCATATGTCTAGTCAAATAACTGTTAATCGAATTAAAACCTGAAGAATTTCACAGCTTTTCTTATTGACATTAATTAATTAGGGGTTTTGACTCTTATCAGAAAATTCCAGTTTCGACCATCCGGAAAACAAGAATTGTAGTCACCGAAGAATGAAAGAAATTCTCGTATATGTCGGATGGCATTGATGTGGTCGGTGCGACGTCTCCTCGGTCATCATCATGGGAAGGGAATGTTTGATATGAAACGCGCTAGAGTTAACGTCTAGTCAATCAGTACTAAATTATGCCAACTCCTTTGTTGTTGTTGTTGTTGTTGTTGTTGATGTTGTTGYTGTTGTTGTGTTTTGTTTTATATTAAACTAGTAATGATTTATGTTTCACGAATTTAGTGGGTCCCATMTAGGAATTCAATCCAGGCAAGCAATCTTAAATGTTTATGTAATGTTGAGTGGATTTCAGCTTGCGGAGGACTGGATTGTTTATTTATTCATTTCCCAAGGTTCAGAATCATAAATTGCGAAAAAATCCTCCCTGCATTGCCTCTCTTTCGATCATCTCCGCCTGCTTTTACGAGCCTACATGCAGCGTATTGATAATGTTACCTTGGCGCTGGATGCCTGCATGTCTGGTACTTCAAAACCTTAATGAAGACCCGGGCATGGGATCCCTATGCCGCAGTGTTATGTAAAGGCATTCACAATAGAATATGTCAATGAATATTTGTTTTAGCTTATTTATTGGAACTTTCCGAGTTGTTACTGCTATTTCTCATAATAATTAATATAATTATAACTTTGAAAGAGATTAACAGCTATAGATAAACTTCGTAGCCGAAAGTATAAAAGGTGAATCGCCACGAACTGTACAGTTCATACTATGATGCAAAGTATGAATTGATTCATTCGCGGTCACTCTAGACAGCTGAAGGAAAATAAAAATAATTATAATGTCGTGTGATTTATTTCTTTCCATAGCCACATACAGCTGGAGGGCATGGTGGTGGTGCTGGGCCTGGAGGAGCAGGTGGTCCTGGAGGTCCTGGGGGTCCTGGGGGTCCTGGTGGTCCACTGTTTCCTGCAGGTCCTTGTGCTCCCTGAGCACCAACTGGTCCTTGAACACCGGGGGTACCCTGAGGTCCATAAATTGGTGGAGCTGCTGGTGGTGGAGGGGCGGGTCCGGCTGGGTTTAGAGGTGGGTTGCTGCCTGGTGGGCCYGTCCCACAACACGAGATTGTGCACAAGGGTGCGCATGATCCGGGGCACATTGGCCCACATGGGTTAGCTGATCGACGGTTGACTGTTACAAAGAAAAGAGGTCAATAAGCAAAAGGAAATTCAGTCAGATGAAATATCACGATATATTGACTGTAAACTGTTACTTTTTATCAAATAAAAACTGTTATGTGTCTTGTTAAATCAGCGCCCTAGGAGCATGCCWTCGACTCTCATCGGCTATCAATAGCTATAGCGCTTCCGGTATAAAATTGGAAGTATATGACTGGAATTGACTTCATTGTATGCGTATCATTCGCTTAATAGTAGCAGAGCTTTATCGTTTACATTTGGTCTGCACCATTGCCTGTCGATCTATTTGGTGTCTCCTCTAACCCTTATAAGAGGAGGACCCTTTCTTTAGTAACTTTTTMCTCCTCCTCCTCCTTAATTACCCTAGAGACCTCCATAGGGCTAATCGAACATTGGGTTATGCAGAAAAGAGGCTGTCAATCAAACACTTTAAACTAAAAACCTCACGATGGGACGGGAATGTTGTCCTTAAGTATTAACAACAACCTGTCCTGTAATGTCTTTCTTAATAAATCATTAAAATGCATTTGATGTTCTCCAGATAAATGGCATTTTATGATTATCTTCAAGTGTTTTAATCAAATTTGTAATGGTTCAATATCATAGATTTATAGCTGTACATGAAATGACTTACTAAAGGCGCTGGCTGTACAAGCCATGCCAAGGACGAAGAGAACGGCCAATTTCAGATCCATGTTTAGCCTGTAATGGAAATGAGAAGTTTTAAAATTTGAAATACTGTATATATATCTGTACGCTTTTTGATTGTCCGTTTGTCTGTACGAAGCGTTAAGTAGTATTTATTTTTTACTTTTTAAGAACTCGAAACTGGTTCTATGCAAAGATCATCAACAAGCTAAATAACTGTCTAGTCATGAAAAAAATAAAATCGAGCTAATTTTATTTCTCTTGTCGTAATTTCTTTATAGACTCAATGTATACACCAGCAATTTATTAAAATATACATTATAATGATTCTGAAAACAGTTTTCATATTTTCCTTCTTAGGACCCTGTTCGATACTTGTCTTACAGGCCACTTGTCCTAATGTTATCAAATTAGTAAAATAAGAATGCTATACGCACTTATATATTTATATAGTACTATTTCTAAATCTCTTTATATAGTATTATTCATTATGCTTACCTCGACTAAGGTCAACGCTTCGTTAGATATGAAGGACTGATCGTTTGACTCGAAAGCAAAGACTTCAAAACTCACATTAAAAATTTACAGCGTGTTATCTGAGTTAAAAAATCTTTCATGTTTACACTAAAATGACAGGTTCTCGTCTTCGCTACAACTAGCAAACAAAAACACGATTGCATCTTCTGTTGCTGGGAGTATTTATACCACTAAATATTTTCCCAGCATTTATACCACTAAATTTTTTTTCCATCAGTCGACCAATGTTACATCAGTAATCACAATATTGCTTGTGTTAACTAAATTAGATAAGCGAGGAGTAAACGTGASTCATGAATGCGTTTTTTAGTATTTTGGTGAATATTTTGTGATTGATTTTTGGTATAGTATCACATGACCAAGAAGACAAAGAAACGAGCAATCAGGCCTGCGCTATCGCCGYCATGTTGRATGARTKAKTTAGCCTGTGAGGATGGATTTGATTGCCACTTCCTTCAAAGAGATGACGGTTTACGTGGTTGATGTACACACTGGATAAGCTGGTGCAAGAAGGACGAAAAACTTACAGACCTCGACCTGATTGGTTGTTCAGTTTGACGAATCATTCAATAAATGTAGTGGGTGAAAACAAGATGATCTTGAGGTCTGATTCCTTGGTCTAGACCTTTTTACGTCTCTAGTTTACTCTTATAGAATATATGAATGTATTAAAGAAATAACAGTAGTACTCTTCATGCATAGTAGCCTAATAAACATGAATTAATCTTATCAGAATCTTCAATTGCATATATTCTTGGACATTTTTTGTTATATCGTAACTTTTACAAAGTGCACTGCTGTGCAACTTCGACTGAAAAACATGCTGCGCAGTTGTACGAGGACCATTTSAAATGCGTGTAAACGAGATAACAAAAAAGAAAAAAGAATTGATAAACTTATTAAATGTCTTTCAGTCTCACAGAGCAGTATGACACAATTCAGCATTTTATCGGCACATGTGACATTCGACGTTTAAGTCGTACCATTATCTCTTTGAAACCATTCAATGTTTAACCATAGTCTGTTTTTCACAGTAAGCTCAACATCAACAACAACAACATTTTAATGTATTAAAATACATTATAAAGAAGCAAAACCACAAAACRCAGGCATTTCAAGAAAGAGTTTTATTATTTAAAATATCGAAATTTAAAATGTCACAAAGAATAAAACAATCGCTCTATATAGAATCTCCAACGTCTCATACTGCAAGCAATATGAGCCAATTACTTTCGACCTGGTGGTCCTGGGGGTCCTGGAGGTCCTGGGGGTCCTGCCATACCATTACAGCCTTTTGGACCAACACATCCTGGAAGTCCAACAACACCTGGGTACCCTTTGGGTCCTGGGAAGACTTGAGGAGGTGGAGGGGTWATGAARGGTGGATGGGTTCCTGGTACTGGTGGTGGAGGTGTGGCAGGTGTGGTGCAACAGCTAAACAAACAACGAGGGTAACAATGGGCCGCAGGGCATTCTGGTCGACATGGTCTTGGATATGGACTTCTCTTAAAAACTACAAGGATTGAACGTTTATGAATTTAATAAAAACATCAAATACAATTACGATTCCAAGAAAAATTATTAAAAACTTTATTTATATTAATCTAACAGATATAAATTGAAATTTTGCAAGCTGATAATAAACGATAAAGAAAAGATATAAAGAAATAAATAGATAAATGAACATTCATGTTCCGGACAAAAATATACAAGGAAGTACGTAGAAAATTTATAGAACAGTACTTTTTTGTTATTCAAAATGAAAAGCTAAAACCTTTCAATCTCAGTGGTTTTCTTAGTGGATGATGTTSAAAGTAAAATACGTTAAAACTGGCTCTAGTTGAGTTTGATATTTTTTTTTTATTTTTCTTTGAAAATGCGATTATCTTAGAGTAGAAAAAACAAGAGAAAAAAAATATGTACATATGATACCGTTGCATCAATAGAGATGACTAACTTACTTGATTCGAAGGATTTCGCGTTAGCCGTGCAAACGACAACTAATACCAAGAGCCCTACTTTTAGATCCATCTAAAATACCAAGAATAACAGCAATTATCTTTCAAAATCATGCTAAAATTCTCAGAATAACTACATTTGCTAGCTTACCTTTTTAGCGAGAGTGTTGAAGCAGTTTGAATAGAAACAGACTACCTGCCAGTGGCTAATACTTGATTCTGACTAATGCTAAAGCGACGATAGTACACGCAATCTCATTGGTTCGTGAAGTTAAACAAACTTTTTGAAAGCTGGTATGTTTTGAAATGCGCAGTCAAGTAAGCAAAGTACCTAAAGCTTGCTGGTTTAGAGGATATTCTTCGTTGAATACTCATTGTTTCGCTAAGAGATCAAGAGACGCAGACAATCTCCTCATTATTCTAAATTGTACACAATTTGATAAAAAAAAGTAGATCAAGATATTCTACTACGTTAATGTCATAGTACCAAAGTAACTGCAAAGGATTTACGGTATAAAATTTTAACAAAAACGACAAATACCGACTCTTAGTTCACTTAAACAATATTATTATTTTAAAGATTTTTTTAACCTCGTTTTTGAAATGTTATGATGTTCCGAGGCTCAAGTGTAGAAATATCAAATGTGGATTGACTTAGGAGCCTACTTTCTCAAGCTATCCCGGCTATCCCTGCGCTCTTTACAGAGTGAAAAAAGCAGAGTTCGGATAAAAGAAGAAGAACAAATTGCTTTTAGTCATTTGAGAAAAGTCGACAGGAGTAAAGAAGGGCGACTGTTCAAACAAAAAATTATATAGCAAATTTATATGGTGATGAAATAACCAGAAATTCGAAAATRTGATTGCTAAATTATATTCTTTCATAAAAATATGAGTCACTATCAATCCAAAATAAGAGACAAGAAGAATATTTAAGAATTAAGATCCTGAAATATAAGCACGTCGTTTCACTCTATCTGTGTTAAACAGTATCAAAAGTCTATTTGCAAAGTATACAACTACTCCATTTTATCAAAGTAAATATAAATAGTATCGGTGTGTAAAGAGAGTGGATTRACGCAGCGCTTGTACATAAACAATCGTTTGATTTTATGCTTTTAAATTAAAGTCAATAATATCGAACGCACTGCGTTGAATACTAATGAATGAGAGTCATTACGCAYAGAAACAAAAGATTACAAAAAGGAACCAATTTATTTCGGTAAATGTTATATACGATGTTGGAATACGAGAGTATTATTAGAGAATCGGGGAACGCGAGCTAAAGATTGAGTTTTATGTTTTATCGATAAAAACAGCGGTCTTTTTAAGCCCAGGAAAACACACATTTTATTTGCTTGTGTGTCATTCGACACGTTATCATACTTTACAATAACATCTCGTTTCGTAGGTTTAAGCTTTTGTCGCGTTTTTGAATACTCATTACAGTAAACAAATACTACATATAAACAACCCATTAAAGTCCCTATAAACCCTCGGAGATTATTGGTTATTTTGATTGTCTTTAACTAGTGGGTGAACGATTCAAAAAAATTTTTTCGATTGGACTTTCGGACACGCCCAAATGATTTGGCCGGGCGAAAGAGAGGTCTGGTCTTTGACGTCAAAGCAAGAACACACGATCAGAGCTTTCAAGAAGTAAACACAGCGTTCAGGATTTTAAATGATCTTTGACTCTCTTCAGACGTCGAAAATCAAGCGCGTTTTTACTGCGAAGAGCCTTTACCGGAAGAGGAATGGCTACAGAAATTGATAATTGAGGAAGGCAGCAGAGAGAACACAACTAATACTTAAAAATCTTGAACGCTGTTTTTTCTTCTTGGAAGCTCGGATTGTGTGTTCTTGTTGTGACGTCAAAGACCAGACCTCTCGCTCGCCCGGCCAAATCGTTTGGGTGTGTCTGATAGTCCAATCGAAAAAAAATTTTTGAATTGTTCACCCACTAGATAAAGACAATCAAAATAACCAATAATCTCCGAGGGTTTACAGGGACTTTAATGGGTTGTTTATGTGTAGTACTTGTTTACTGTAATGAGCATTCAAAAAGGCGACAAAAGCTTAAACCTACGAAACAAGATGTTATTGTAAAGTATGATAACGCCGTTATCGGAGTTCAATAGATTCCTATCATTTTCTGAGTACTCATAAGAAAGCANCTTAAGCATTAGTGGATCACTCGTGTCAACAATACACAGGTACAAACTATACCCATTACTGGTTCTTTTTGTGTCTACTGACGTCGGAAAACATAACTATTTGTTTTTGAAACGGGGTATGCTCACCTGATTCATCACCCTTGGATTAGATAATGGATTGGCGCATACATATATATCAAAACATCGCTTTTAACAGTAGTAGTCACTTTAAGAAAGAGTACTCAACTAAGAACAACTGAGAAGTGCAGAAAAAATTGGTGAGTATATATATATATATATAGCATTGTACTTTCTCAATAAGGAACGATACATGTAGCGCAGTAGCTCTATTATATATTTTTTTCTTTTTCAAATATGGATGAAATTGTGGCTTGCAATGATTCCTTCTCCTATGCACTTAAAGAAAATGGTCCACCTGTATTCCTTTCGAACTTTTTCTCATGTTTGAAATAAAAATACATCGTAATATAAGCAAAACGTACCGTTTATTATCCCTTTATACTTTATGAATGGAGATACTGTATGATTCGACCTTTAAACCGATGGATGGAAACGGATTGCAAACAGATATTCGAAGTCACCTCATTTTCCATATATGAAAAATCTTAAACACGAGCGCATTGAATGCGGGTGAACCATGTCTCTTTAATTTGACGGGTCKAATCACAATAAATATTTTTCTCAAATTAATCATGGCAAACTAAACTAGTATGTCTTCTCAAATAATACAGATAATGAGKTTTCGGTTCACGATTTGTGTGACTTGCATCACGCTCATGTTGGTGCTCACCAATCTCGTCGAGTCTGCTCGTGTTGCATCTGACGACGAGTCCTCATCCAACGGCGCAAATAAAATGAACAAGACAGTGGAGGCAATGAAGAGCATTATTGGTGCACTCGGCAGACAAATGCTTCTCCAACAACTGTTTCTCGAGGAAAGAATTCGTTCCGATGCAGATTCAGGTGTGAAGCAAGTAAGACACACAATAGACGGCACWCGCAACTACCATTCCGCTTCACATACTGGCAGAAGTGCCGTTTCCATCCACGACCATTCCAATAACATCCGTACTGTAGGCATGGGAGAATTCATTGGGGTCCTCAATGGTGTTGAATTCCGRACCAGACACAACGACTAYCGTCTCTACATGCCACACAGGACCAAGAAAGACTTCCATGCTGTWGAAAACATACCTTTYCCAAATGTTCCACCTGAGGTGCTGAATAAGAATAACGTTTCTGAACAGATCAAAGAAATGCGAGAATGGTTTAAAGCATGGAAAGATCAAAATCACAAGACCAGAGATTATCGAAAATACTTTAAACCAGTTCTGTGTTATTTRGAGGGRGCRTGGACAACCTCTACCAAGGGTAAAGTTGATGAACCTTTCGAGAGTGACAGRCACTTTGTCGACGCWAGCAGCTGGTTTGACTTGCAAGAGAAAATCCGCTTCACCTCGTACACTGGTCGCAAGGACAACTTGGAGAACTTCTCGTTTCTTCCAACAACCATCATGAACGTTACAGAAGAAGGWTATCCACAGTTTGCMCAGTGGAACTACCGCATTGCTTGCCATCCRCTCAGCCGMGATCTTCCTCTGAAYCGCCTTCGTGTAGTTGACGAAATTGGTCTCCGTTTGTCTCACCAAATGACATACAATCAGCATGGCATGASTCGAGCCGCACGTTTTCARATCAATCCTTTTGATACAGACAAGTGGACTGAACGTAAAAAYGGAGCTCGTTATGGACTTTTAGATGAACTTATGGGTGAGGTAAGTCACATCGAATCCAATATAGTGAATGGATTGACTAGATAGCGGATTATTTATTTTTTGATAATTGTTTGTTTTATTGAGAGAGGTTTTGTAATCGTGTATTAGGTAGTAAGTCTTTCTCAATCCAAATTCCAGATTCCTGGAAAAGACAACTATCAAGGTAACTTGACAGACAGTGCGTTCGACATAATGGCATTTTCTAGAAACCCCAAGATCAAGGAGAAGCTCAGAGCAGGCCGGTACCATCGTTGGTTTGAAGTCGAACAAGTAGGAGCAATGGGTCTTTCGGTACGCCATCGTGGATACTCCGATGCCACCGTCTTCATGGCAATGAACACCCAGCCAAAGATCGCAGGATTGGATTTGACCCGTTGTACAGGTCCGAGGAAAAACCGTGTTTGCAAGACAATTAATCAAAAGTGGTCGTACGCCATTCCTCTTGAGATCATCTACTTGACACCATTGAACAAGTGGAATCCTTATAACATCCAATACAAAGGTGATTCTAGGTCAACACTTGGTAAAACGGTTGAAGCAGGAGGTACTCGCAATGGAGGGTTCTCGAAGGCKAAAGCCTTTAATGGCATACACAGTAGAAAGTACTACCAAACACCYGTGGAGTTCTTTTCAGGGGGCGAGGTTGGKTCAGGAGCAGCAGACACGACAAGGAGCTCTGTTGGAGTACTCGACAAAGAAGGTAATCGTCTCGTTTTACCAATGATTTTGCTATTTCCTGTAGGGTTATCAAGTGGAASCTACAAATTTGAAACTGAGACGGAGGGTCAGGTTTTACTCTCACTATCGTATTCAAACTTGAGGATTCAAGGGACTTTCTTAYCAACATCCTCTACTTAATTCAAAAACAGTGAACACCATAGCGMGCGCGACAGACAGACAGRSATRAATAAATSATTTTCATGAGGTAACTCTTTGAAATTCCCAGGTAATYTACATAAGTGCGCAGCCAGTGGGACACGAATCTTCTTTCCTCAAATTGCTGGTGTTGGCATTCTACGTCAGAGATATCCCATCATGCCTGTTCATGGTGAAGGAAGTTCTGTTTGGAAAGAACTGGAAGCGATTAAAGATTTACTGATGAAATCTAAGACCTATAACTACATTTTCCGCGATGAACCATTAGGCGGTGGGTCATCCTCAGGTGGCGGCGGTGAGCCTCCCAAGGTCATCAGATACAATATGCAGTTGTCAAGAAGCAACAAAACTACTCCTCATGTACACGTAGTTGAATTGACTCCAGATGAGGTATAATCTAAAGCGTAGTCTTTCTGCAGAGTTTTTCAGTGAAAGCCTTAGGGTTCAATATGGCAGATTTATGTCTTATAATTTTACTTTTCATTCTCAGTTGGAATTGAGGGATGATCGTATGCAACTTATGCATATTTTCATAATATTCGTGTGGTCTTACAGTAAAATAACGTGCGTATGATTATCAACACTTCCTGGATTTTGTCCATATTGGCCATCTTTAGGGTTACTGCACTCTTTGCAACTAGAGTTAAATAGTCGTTGCGCCAGCCTTGCTATTTATGAATTTATCGTGCAAACGCTGTACTGTACATAATATTTATGATATTTCCAATTTCAAGCGTGGCATTTATTTGAGTGTGGCGTCTAAATGAGTAAATACAAGCAAATGAGTATAAAATTGCTTGTTTACGACAAATTTTCATATCATACCATCCTTGTGTCTTAATTTTGTAGGTCGATTACATTAAAGCGGGGCAGATATTAGTGAAGACGACAGAGCAGACTAACGGTCACGTGCACCGCTTGACGTTACAGAACAGGCCGGGACGAACCTTCTATATTAGGAAKTGCGACAGTCGAGACACAAGAACAACAAGATGTTGGGACCAACACAACCGCTGGATTATACGTCTACCCAACCAGTAATCCCATCAGTTGGTTTCACTTGGTCAAACATATCGAAATAAGTGATCAGAATGATTCAATTAAAGCATATGACGTCACTGAGGGATCTGTAAACACATACATGTTATTTTCAACGGCTGTGAAGTAGCTAACGTACCCTGGGTACCAGAGCGTTATCYTTTACCCTCTCTCATATTTCATTTTAAGGTGGTTTCACCGTTTCATCGACCTTACCGCTTCAAAATTAGCAGCACTTTGGCACCGTATATAAACTATGAGAAAGCAAAAATTCCAATTTCWGATATCCAGGGTATAGCTACGGAGTTGATATTGTCGGGCAATCATCTAAGAACTCATAGACTTTTCTATTTCACAATCATTGAGAAATCGTTATATAGGTGCAGGGTATACAAGCTAACAAAATATATAAACAGTTGATTGTTTTCTTTGAATCTAAGCAAAGGGCAATAAACAAGAAAACTACAGATGCATTGAACTTTTTATTGAGTCGTTTTATTATAAAGAAAAGACAGTAAAAAAACCTAAACATCTTGGCGGCGAACAACTATTATTACAAAAATATGTTTTCAGTATCATTGTAGTTGACCAAATGACAGAAAATACTAACTAAAGTTCGGTATACCATCTATTTATATTTGGTATTCTTAACTCTAATATTTAACTTTAACATTTCTGTTAACACCAGTGAAAAAAATACCTAAGTAAAGGAGCATGTAGAACTGATAATTAAAAGACCCCACAAAAATAATGTGCTCTATAAATCTTTCGGTTATTTTTCATTAGAGGTCGTAGTAAAAATGCAAGTTAACTCACCGATATACTTTTAACATACGTTAAACTACATATAGTCTCAAAACTATTCACCCTCTGTTTAAATATGACATACAACTTTTGATACAAAAATAACGCGTCTCTACAAACTATAAATACCCGATACCCTTATGTTATTCTACTTTTTTATACTGAACTGACATCTCTRTTCAAACAAAGTGTCTATGGGTTATTTTATGAATTGTGTTCATCTTAATTACATTATTTATCCCATTAAATACTACATTAATGATATTGATCGTGTGATATAAATATGCTCCAATGCATGCTTCAAAATAGTAGAGCACTTTGAAGAAAGTCTGTGCATCAGTTGTTTTCGCACTTTGGCGAAGGACTTTTGACATTCTCCCCGTTGATATACTAATTACGATGATTAGAAAACTTAGAACGCTGCATCTCTTAATTTGGCGACTTTTTCAAGGATTGATATATGACTGGCATAAAGAGGAATGTTACCGCTGACTCGCTGCCATCGTACTGCAGCCGCATCATCTCCAGCCTGCGAAGGACAAGCGAAACATTAATGATCAAAAACATATTTTTGATTTCCAATGACCCAAAAGTAAGAAAACAACAACAACAACAACAAAAATGAAAAGTGAAAATCCAGTATGTAACGCACCTGGAGTTTGAAATCGTTGAACATTTCTCCTTTTTCATCGTGGAAATTAACAGCCAGTGTTTCCATCCACGAGTTATCTGTATTTCGTGGGTCATCCACGTAACCCTTATAAATCTAGGAAATTAAAGAGCAACACCGTCAATTACTGTTCTATTCCATCCACGAGTTTAATTCACAAACGAAAATATATTCATTGATCATTTCCGTTTACCTCATCGCCTTTTTGGAAGAGACGTTCTATCTGTTTTCCAATCCTTTCTCTTTCTTCAGGACTTACGTTGATCTTAGCCAAGGCCTCCTCGCCAAATTCGGCTTTGAGRGTCTGGGTAACAGCTTGACCGGGCTCAACCATACCCTAAAGTATACAGAATGTAGCAAGTTATTTATCAAAGCAAAGTAAAAACTCGCTTGTAAAAATGATCCACAATCAAATAATTAAGAACAATATTATTTACCCCTGGAATAGCCCACTGATTATTGTCTTTACGCAAAATAGCCACAAACTCYAAGACCTTTTTTCCACCTTCCACCATAACACCAGCACTTGTACGCTTCCAGCTTTACGAWGAAGAAAATTACAAAGTAATGTTACAGAGTATATAAACAGTTATTAGCCTCCTCGACACCAAAAATGTCTCCACAGGAGGCTATTAAATGGATGTGCAACAAGTTTCAACTGTGAAAGATTATAATGAAATGGATTATAATTACCGCGTAACAATGGGGTCAGCGGCATGATTAGGACCAAACCGCCCCAGCAAGCCACGTCCTGCCATACCAGTCCTTCCCATTGGATTCCTACAAAAATAGTAGAYAGTAAATCGTGACATATATATTTCTGCTGTTCATGGCGTATATTGATCAAGAAGACTATATTTATTACTTACTGAGGGAGTCCATCTAAAMCTTTGTATTTTCCATTGTAACTTGTTCTGTCCACATTGTAGTCTGTATCAAGCTGATTATATTTTAGTTTAGGACGATCTTTAACAGCCCTGAAGAATAAAAAGACTTAAAAGTCAAGGAAAATAATTGTACAAGAAATATATTACAGGATACGTACATGCTCATCAGATCAGGATCAGCCCACGGTGGTTTGCTGAGAACGACGGGTGCTGTGTATTCCACGGGTTTGTAGCCTGGAAAATTCACCTATGCAAAATATCAAATGTAACTATTACTCAAAATAGAGTATATTWTCGTACAAGTGTCTAGCGTACAACGCTGT